TTCCCACCACACACATATAGATACACTACCAACAGATAAGTATTTTGGATTTTGCATTTTGGCTCTTTGCACAGAGGTCTCTCGATTAGGATTGGGGACCATATTGGGGTTCTGAGATCAAACAACAAGTTAGTCTCGTGCGAGACAAGTATCTTACCTGCTGTACTCTTCTTCCAGCTCCTAGCTAAGAATCTCAGGCAAGGGTTAAATGCGAAAACACTTTTCTTATCTCACATCATCAAGATGACCAGTCTACTAGCATGAATTTTCCTGGCACTCAAAGTTTATAATTAAAGCTAAAGTGTAACTTTCAGCCATTTTTTTTTAATGAAACACTCTCTGAAATATATTATTCCTACCTTTTCAAAGAGCATGTTCAATTTAAGGCCTAGGGAGGTCATAAGGAATCTGTGGAGTCAGCCTTACCCTGCTTTATAATGACAGTCAGCCTTAGCCAGGCTCTCATGCCCACCCACACTTTCCCCCATCCAAAATTAGGAGCAGTCACATCCCCTAAATCACTGTTAAATGAGTAGCAAGTTAAATGAGTGGCACCTAGTCGTAAAGCACAGCTACTAGGCATTTACTGTCAAGCATTCATACAAATACTTAAAGCATTTTCCATAGTGCAGTGTGAATAAGGTTCCCACTTTATTGATGAGGAAAGCAAATATGGAGAAGTAGAATCACCCCAATGAACAGTCAGACTCTGTCAGTCGCACTCATACCATTGCTTCCGGATGCTCAGTACTCAGTAAACCTATCAGGGGTGGTGGTAAGAGTCACCGCCACCGTTGTATTGAATTAACGCTAAAAACTCAGCTACCACTACCACTGAGCAGTGCCCCCTGCAGCGCCACCCAGTGGGGGATATCTGCAGACAGCTGCCAGTGCTGATTTTTTTCCTGCTACCAAACCAAAAATAGCCAGGAGAGCTAATCGTGTGCCTTTTTGTGGATCTATGATGTCTTAATATTAAGAGAAAGTAAATTTAACATATTTGAGAAGTTTGAACAGAGTACAGATGACTTCATTCTAATGTTTCCCAAGATTCAGGAACAGTAAAGACATAATCATGGATTTCAGAAACAGCTTTTTATTATTTTTTTATTTTACTTATATTCAAATGCATTGTTCCTTATTTTCTGCAATCTTTCATTGGTGGTCAAGATTTTTGAAGTCATTTTCTTCAGAGAGAGCCTGTTATCGTTGATATATTATTCCCCAGAGCTAGATGGTCTACTTCTGTTTGGGGGTACAGAAAGGCTAATTTTAACTTTCATCAAAAAATGGTGAAAAGGCCTTTGACTAAAATAAAACACCCCAGGGTGTAGTTCTAATGACTAAAGATAAAATCTAAGAGTAAAGCAGTTATAATATTTTAATGCCAATATTAATAATTTTAGCCGTTGATTCTCAGCTGACAAGTGATATTATAGTGATAACAGTTGTATGCCCATTTTTGCCTTTACATCTCTGGTACCTGAAAATTCTGTAAGAAAAAAATACTAGCACAAAATAATAAAGTGATGTGTTTTATCAGGAGTATTCTAATTAAAATTAGTTAAAAATAATTTTTAAAATATTTTAATTGTTTTACTCTGGTTAATTCTGTGCTTTTTTTTTTTTCTTGAAATTGTGGTGCTTTGGAAATGAAGATACCCAGTTTTCCAAGTAAACAGGAATTCCAGTTTGGGGCTCAGCACTCATTTTATATTGCATAATGGCCTCAGAATCCTTGTGTGTGATGTGAGGCCAGAATGTCACTCTTACTGAGTTCTTATAATGATAAGTATATGAAAGCTTCTCAGCACAGTCCCAAGCTCCTTAAAAAGACTTGATAAATAGTGGCTCTCTTCTCGCCAACTCTGTCCTTGCTCTGCTCTCATTATGCCATCATAGTCTCTATCTAACTGGTGCTTAGTGAAAACACCTTCACTTTGATTCTAGTCAATCTTTTGTTCTTAATGCTTCTCCCTCATCACCACTCCATCAGTGACGTTGATTCTCACCTAGATCATCCAAGGCTTTCCTTTTATGACCCTTGTAGTGGTCCCCATGTAAATTATATTATGCCCCATACTTCCTCTTAATGTCTCAAGTTCATCACTTCAACAATAACAACAAAAATACTGCCCTTGGGCAGAGACCTGGTTCAAGTCAAGGTGCTCCATAAATGCTTCTCCCAGTACCTTCCCCTTCACTCTGACCCAGACATGAGCAGCTCTCTCCAAATCAGAATGTCCAATGGCTTGGTTCTGCAGCCCACTTCTGCTGCCTTACTCCAACCTTCAGTTAATCTTTCCGAGCTCAATTTCTCAACAAGAGTGAATATGAAAACATATGAATGTGAGAACCTTTATCTTTGGAGTACAAGTTAAGGTATATGTTTCCCTCAATAAGTGCCTGGCCCAGACTTAGTGCTGCTGATACTTTCTGCATCTGGGGATGAAACTCAGGTGTGTGGTGAAGTGACATCTGCAGATAGAGATCTCATAACCCAGAGACTCTTCAGACACAGACCGAGTGGATGAGGTCTTTGATGCTCGCCTAATTGCTTGGCCTTCTGCTAGTTACACTAATTTCATAATTGGCTGGTTCATGTTGAGAGAAATTTAATAGAAAACTATGTAAGGGGAAAACAATTAGGACTTCTAATTAGTCATAACCTTATCTTTAATCTCACTACCGAGGAAAAAGAAGATTTATGGCTACTTGGCTCCATTTATCTTGATTAAAAGACAAATGATGTGCTATCTGGTTAGCTGCTGGTGTTCGGTACACGCGTGCAAGTGGATGCCTGTGCCACGTGTCTGAGAGTTATATGGCATAACTGGTGGTACCAATAAAAGCAGAGAGGTGTAGCTAGAGTTCTTGAATAAAGAAGTATATTAGATTAGTAAGATAAATTTCCATGATTATCTTACTGACTTTCCTGATTTTTGCTGCATTTAGCCGTGGATGTAACCTGACAACTGATTTCTGAGCATGTGTAGCATTAGGTGGATATTAGAGTTGAGTACTTTGGAAGGAAAAGAAGTTTTTAGGAAAACTTGTTTAGCTAAAGCTGTAATGACTTGAGGTCTGACTTTTAGAGTGCTGTGGCTTTTACTTTGCAGAGTTAAACAACTCTCAAGATGTTTCTGAAGTGTCCATTGCCTAATCATGGCACCGTAAAATTCAATAAGAATATCAATTTTTGTAATGGTCATAATAGAATAAATGTGGCCCTTAACTTATCACACTACTAACATTATCACTCTGTCTTTGGAAATAGTATTTTGTCTTTCTAGCTAGAAAGGAGAGAAATGCTGCCATCTGTATGTTGGAGCAATTGTGATCTGCTCGGTTGTGTCCCGTTTCATGCATTTTTCCTCTTGTCCAAATATGAATTTACCCTTGAGTTAATCTTTTAGAGACTCTCCAATTCGTGTATATTAATCCTTTTCTCAATTTCAAATTAACTGCTCTGCCATTTGATCATTGCGTACTTACTTATCAACATTTTAAGTGAGGTGATTGGATAATTTTGGAAATTTTTCCTGAACTGTGCATTATGCTAAATCTTCTGGCTCTGCTTACATTGCTAATGCTAGTTACATCATTACGGGAGCTATAGATTTCTTGGGCATGCAAAGTGATTGCATATTCATGAACATCTTCAATCCTGAAATATTTGTAAATAACTTGGCAATTTTTTTTCATAAGGTGGCCTATTAAAATGATTAGGTCTTTAATTGTTCACACAGAAATAATTTGTGCTTACATAGTACCATTTATTTGAAAAATAATATTTCCATGCTAAGTAATTTGGATGATGAACGTAGAAGTCACCTTCCTTAAACAAAGTATAAAAGATGCTATTTTCCACTTAAGAATGATTCAAGTTTGAAAATGTCAATAGATGCAAAAAGCCACCCTCGAGCTTTGCTCTCTCGAAAGAAAGTAAGAAGGAATGACATAGTCAATGTTAACTGTCACCAGATGAAGAGAAATCAGATTGTCAGGCCTGGATCTATAACATTCTTGCCAAAGTAGGACCTCATTTACACATACAGATCTTCATACCCTTTGCTAAGAAAAGCATCTGTGGCAGTTTAGATGTTTGTGCGTTTGCCAAAGATCTTTCACTCTGAATAAAGTAAATGTCATGTCTGTTGTTTATCTCAAATTCAGCGAAGTATTTTTAAAAGGAAATATTTGCGGGGGAGGGTCGAGGGAAGAAGGGAGGAAGGAGGTTGGGAGCTCTGCTTAGTGGGGTGTGGCCGTTTTCTTTCAGTACTCAGTGTCAGTTGGATTTGGATAAATCAGCTTATAACATAGTGTGGTCCCAGGATTGGAACATATCCTTTTGAAGTGTCCACACTATAATAAATTGGGATGTGTAATCTTTCTAACTCTATACCTAGTCTGTCAGCACCAAAACATTCCAGTTAATTCAGTCTGACTGATCATTTGGCATCATGTAGACACAGCTGTCTTGAACTAAAATTCTGAACATTTAAATGGAGAAGGTACTGAAACTAAGCCACTGGCACAGTGGCCTTTACCTGTAATTTTGTCCAAAGATTGCTCAGACTTCAAAGAGTAGACATTCAATTGGATTCCATTGAGTGGCTATCTCTTAAAAAAACCTTAGTTGGTCATACAATTTATACCCATGGCATATTTGGTTAAGGGTACAAAGGGTCATTTAACCATGTAAATGGTCTGAATATATAAAAAAAGCAGTTATTCTCATGCCTTAACAACTGCTTAACTCAACTTGTACCATTTGTAATTATTATGAGATCCTAATGTAAAATAGATGTCAGGACCGCTTATGGAACTCTCTTTCAGGTAATACAGTTTTACTGCTCTATGCAAAATGCAAATATCTGTGCTCAATAAATAGGTAAATTATCATACAGTTTATACCCATTATTTGTTTTATGGAAGAATTTGTTACTGATCTTATGGAAGAATTCTCTGTGACTCTGAATATTGTTTTATTCCCACAGATGATATGGAAGCCATTCCTGTCAAACAGTTTGTCAAACACATTGGTGAGCTTTATTCTAATAACCAGCATGGGTTCTCCGAGGATTTTGAGGTATGTTTCAAAACTGGAAATTATTTTCCAGAGACTTAACTCTTGGGAAATTTGAAAAAGATTCGTTATAAACATACAAAAGGATAACTGAGGCACAGGCATCTGAATTCTAGTGTTTTGTTTGCTTATTCTTAACCCTTATCATTCTAATAGGTGTTTCCCCCCCCCCCCCCACCCCTTCAAACTCCCATCTCCCTCGGTATCAGTTGCAAGTATCCTGAATCTGCCCTCTGGGACAGTCGCAGGGTTAGAAATGGCAAACTTGGGTTCTCACTTCTTAATTTTAATTGCTGTAGCTGTCATAGAATTCAATTCTAGGGTACACACCAGTACAGCAGGCAGGTGCAGGGCATCGGAAGTCTGAGTTAGTGGCTAGAGACACCATATTGGCAAGCTTTGTTGTCCTGACTTTACCTGTGATCCCCAGTTTTTGTCATGGAAAGCAATGGTGTTAATACCACCTCCCTGCTAAACTTGTTGGGAAAAGTGCTTGAGCGATGTCCTTGAAAGCCTGAGAGTAATTGTTTAGCCGTACAAATGTTGATGGTGGTTGTATTTTTGATTATTAATCCTTGGAGCAAAGACATGGGTTAGCACAGCCTTCTGATTTGAAGAACTGGTATGCAGGAAACAAGGTAGAGAGCGGCACACTCCACCCTGCCAGCTCTGGGTTCTGTGCCAGTTCAACAGTGACAGGGTGTCAATGAGGAGCTATTAAACAGACTGCCCTTTTCTTCACTGAGGCGCTTAACTAAGGCACATCTCTGGCACCAAGAGTCGTGTCGAGGAGGCCAAGTTTTCATGGCAGCTCAGCTGTCTTCTAGCTTTGTGGATGAGACGGTTCCTTTCTCAGTCTTCTTTCTAGTTTAAGATGGAAAAGATGATGATGATGATGATGATAACTTGCCCAATCTCTTTTCACAAAAGTGTTCATGGGTAGCAAATGAACAACAGAAGGGAGTACTGTGGCATCCACTAGAAACCATTCGGCTGGGAGGTGCACTTATTTTCATGAACAATGAGAAATAAAAATAAAGCCCGAAGTCTCTGGCTATATGCAATTCCAGGGTCCAGAAAAGCCATCATAAAAGCAATTACATCAACAATTCATTTGAAATAGAGTCTTTCTCTTCAAGTTTTTTTTTTTTTTGGTGTTCTTGGGTTTTGTTGTTTTTTAAAATTGTTTTGAGCTGAATCAAAGCAAAGGTGGTGGAAAGAAGGAATTCTGATTTATTCAGCAATGTCATATGTTTCATGGAACAAACAAAAGCATGCCAGGTACTTAATGTGGCTATTAGATGCTTACCCAAAAAAAAAGGTTTCTGTTTAACTAAAAAGAACATGGTTTAAAGTCAAACATTTTATATTCATGAGGACAGCAAATGTGTGTGGTGTTAAAGTGATTTAGTTCAATTGACTGTTGGCTGGATGACTGAGCAAGAATATTGAGGCGTTTAACAATGTTGATGGTATTCAGGACAAACATTTATCCTCTAGAGAACAGAATTTGATCAGGATGATCAAATGCAACTCCAGTGTCTCAATTATTTATGATTTGAGACCCCAGTGCTATTCATCACAGCTGGTTTTGACACCATTTAATTATTCAAAATAATCGGCTACACCTCTGTAAACTTGATCTGACTTAAAATGGGCTTTGCTGCATCAGGATCATGCCTGTTAACAAATCCTGGTCATCTGCATCCTATTTCTATTTTGTAAGAAATACCGTGGCTAGAAGCTTTTGTTGGCCCGCGTTGAACTTTATAGCTTAAGCATTATTAGCTGGTAGTTCTGGCAGTGGAGGGTGGAGAGGCAGGGAAGGGGGAGGCATTGTTCTAATTTTGTCCCTTCCCATCTCTCCTGGTTTGAAAGGTTTCAAATTAGAGCTATTCAGATGGATGAATAGCCTTTTTTCCCCTAAAATAACAGTAAAGCAGTAACATAAAGGGGGCAATAAGATAATAGAATAGTTTCCTAATATGCTGACATTTTCTAATTTAGGGAAAATGGGAAGCATTATAAAATAGTGGTGTTAATTCTTTTTGGTGACTCTGCTGAGAGAAAAAAAATAACTGGTAACAGGTTACTACATTTTTAAGACTTTCATAGAGAGTAATAGGTTATCTAAGGAAGTTCAGGAAAAGAGATTTTGTATTAATTTTAAAAAGAACTGAAGAGGCCAGATAGTACAGCGGGTAAGATGCTAGCCTTGCATGTGGCTGACCTGAGGTATATCCCCAGCCCCCTATTTGGACCCAAATTCCTGCCATGGGTAGTAGAGCCAGGAGTAAGCCCTGAGCCCTGCTGTTGTGGCTCAGAAACAAACAGAAAGAACTGATGAAGTCACACCCACTCTAGCTGGCCTATTTGCCTCTACCTTTTGCTTTGTGAGGCTAAGTAAACTAAAAGATTTCTAGATGTAATTTTTTTGTGTTGGATTGTTCGGCTTAATGGCCAGACAGTAGATCTCGATGTACTTTTGAATCACCTCCATCATCAGTGACTCCAGGCAGGAAGCGAGCGGTTCAGGCTGCTACACTTTTTCCACCTGTGACCTCTTCTTGCCCAACAAATTTTTATGTGACCACAAAATATATAAAATGAACAAGTCAAACATCTACTGACGACCATAAATTTATTTTAAAACAAATTTTTTATAACGGTAACCTCGTACCGAATTTGGGATCACCCCCATAGTTTAAGAAGTTATGAGTTAATCTAGGCCATCTCCCAAGAATTCTGAGTATAACAAATTTTGTGCCTTTCTTTTTTGAGTCTTTGTAACTGTTTGCTTTTAAACTGGTGGGTTTTTTTTCATGACTATGTGTTTATTGATACGCACAATGTTCAAATTGAGAATTCCAACTTATAGACAGGAAAACCCAAACAAGCTTATGTCCTCAACTGTTTGTCAGTGTTGAGTAGATGACTGACTCTGCACACCCTATTGGCTAGCAGTACCTTAAAGGGTTTTTATACCTATTAAAAGCACATTACCTTTGAAATGAAATGCCAGTTCTGATGGAGAAAAGCCACTCCAGGATCAAATGATATTATCAGCATCTAAATGAACCAAGCAGTTCTGCAAGGAATTACAGATGACATTATTATCTACAAGACAAAATTAGAAGGCCTTAGGCAAAGCCCCTGGGTTCCAATAAAATCAGATTTAACATTATTTATGACTATTCTTTGTTTTCCTGTCATTCATATAATTGGAAAAGTGAAATAAAGGCAAATGGATCATATCAGACCAAGGGCTTTAGATAACAAAGAGTTTGATTTGCCATATTGAATGACTGCTTTAAACAGTGCAGACAGCTACTCCCACAGACTCTTGCTTGGTTGCATTATTTTATTACAGAGGGCCAACCTTGGTCCATAACTAGTGTGATCACAGCCATGCAACACGGAGAAAAGTAATAAAGTGAACACCACACTGAAGTATTATAAAGCCGAGTACATGTCATGGATATGACCTTCAAAAACCAAGAAATAAAAGGGTGTTAACTTATTTCAGGGATTGGTGTGTGGATTGATGTTTTCCAGAATACAAAGCCATTTTCACATATTTTATGCTCCTGAAACTTTTTAAGGGCACATATGCATTAGGCTTTTGAGTTCTTCTTAAAAGTACCCACCCTGGAAAATGGGCACTGGTGGAGGGATGGGTATCTGATCATTGTATAATTGAAACCAAAGCACAAAAAATTGTAAATCTACAACTTTAAAAAAAAATAAAATAAAATAAAGGGAAAAAAAAGTACCCACCCAAATGTTCTGAGTTTTGCTCATGTTCTTATCACTGTTGTCAAACATACATAGTGCTTATACTTTGTTCTCATTTTAGAGAAAAGAGTCAATGGCAACATTAAGTTCCCTTAAAGCAGCATTTTCCAATTCATAGCTTATACACTAATTTGTAATAGAATGGAAAATAGGATTGGAGAGATAATACATCAGATAGAGATAATGCATCAGATAAGGTCCTTATCTTGCATGTGGCCATCCTGGGTTCCATCCCTGGCAATGCCTATGATCTCCCAAGCACTACAAGGAGAATCCCTAAGTGCAGAGCCAGGAGTCAGCCCTGAGCACTGCCAGGTATGGCCCAATCCTTTACTCCATTAAAAAAGAAAAGAAAAGAAAATATCAGACTTTATCATATTTAAAAAGAAGAAACACACTTCTTCCAGAAATGTTTATTGTAATAATGGCTATAGTGGCATTTTTATTCTTTGTGTGTGACTCTTGTATTTATGCTTCAAATTCTTTGATTACAACAAGTACCTAGTTGAAGAGGATTGGGGAAAGTCCTAGCTGGGAAGTACTTGGTGACTATAAAATAAAACTAGTTCCTTGTTTTCCTCCTCCCTAATGTAAATGCTCTGCAGACATCCATAGTCACGTTGCAACTCCTTTGTGGAACAATCCTGCATGATTCTCAACTCTGTTACATCTGTTCCATGTAAAACATTTCTCCTGTTAATTTTGTGTCACTTTGCTTCTGCTCTTGGTAGCAGCTGTGCACTGCTAATGACTTCCCTTATTAGTTAACTGCAGTACTTTCTTGGGTTTAAAGCACACACTGTAGAAAAATTTGGCTTTTCAGCAACCTTATGCTGAGAAATGGATGATGTTTATATCCAGGCAGAGGTAGCCAGAAAAAGTTGCATCTTTCATTGTTGTTTTTCTAAAGAAGGATCATTTGAATAAACTCCAACTGACGGATAATTCTTCAGGTTCTACATTCCTGTGCCACATGTGACAATTAGTTGAGCTATATATCAGTGTCGTTTCAGGAGTCTTCATAGTCTGGTGCCTGATCTGAAACAAGGCTAGAATGCTTTATAGGCATATTGTAAATCATGGTGGAAATATACTACTTCCTGGAATATTCCTGCTCATCCTTAAGACTTGAGCGAACCATCTCCTGTCTGAAGTCTTCCTCTGCTCCACTAGGCTCCCATCAGTTACCTCAGTTCTCATTCCCGTTAATCACATTTAACTGTCATCTACTTGCATACTTTCCTCATTCATCAGACTGTGATATATTACCAAAAAAAAGGCACTGTTTCATAATCACCAGGCCTGGTTGGAAATCTGGACTAAAGTAGATGATTAATGAAATGGAATCCTATTATTTACTTCACATCTTTCACACATTTGCTAGCAATATGCCAGTGATTATATCTGAAGTTGACTTGGGAGGTAATGATGACTGTGGAGAGGGAGTGTAAATGCTTAATGTCTTTATGTGTGCATATAGTTCCTATTTTTTGCAACCTTGTTTTCTAAAATCATATAAATCTTTGTTTTCGGGCCATACCCCATAGTGCTCAAGGAGCTATGTGGTGCCCGGGATCACTCACATTCAAAGCTTGTGCTCCAGCCTTTTGAGGCCAACCACACATACTAGGGGAAAAGGGAGCTCAGATAAAGAGGGGAGCACCAAATAAAGGTGTTGGGAGAATCCTCCCAGGATGGGAGAAGCATGCTGAAAGTAGACTAAAGACCAAACAGTATTGCCACTCAATGCCTCTTTTGCAAACCACAACACACAAAAGGAGAGAGAGAGAGAGAGAACAAAAGGGAATGCCCTGCCACAGAGGCAAGTTGGGATGGGGTTGGGAGGGATACTGGGATCCGTGGTGGTGGGAAATGGGCACTGGTGGAGGGATGGGTGTTTGATCATTGTATAATTGAAACCCAAGCACAAAAATGTGTAAGTCTGCAACTGCACCTCATGATGTCTCACTATTAAAACATTTTATAATAAAAATAAAATTTAAAAAAACAAAGCTTGTGCTTCAGCCTTTTGAGCTTTACCTGGCCCCTAAATTCTTTGTAATGTTGCTGCTTGTTTTCTTCACTAGGAAGTCCAACGCTGTACAGCTGATATGAACATCACGGCAGAACATTCCAATCATCCAGATAACAAGCACAAAAACAGATACATCAACATTTTAGCATGTGAGTAACAAACTTCTCTCATTCTTCAACCAGAAAGTGAAAATTATGCCATGTATAACCTAAAATCCAATCAGAATGAGGATGTCAAGAAAGAATTATACCTAGAAGTTAACCTTTCATTAGCCAGTCTGCCCCCCTTTCTTATTCACAAATTTATTGGATCTCAGCTTAATAATAAGGTGATTGGAAGGAAATGTTCTGAGTGTCACTGAAACACATCACGTGGTTTCATGTCAGATACTGAGAAGCAGAACTTGAAGGTCACCTGACTATATTAACATTGTTTTTCACTGGTAAGGGCTGAGTTGGGGGAGGGAGTTTCTTTAGTTGTGGGGGTTGTGTTATTTCTGTTTGTTACTTGGGGCATACCCACTAGTGCTCAAGAGGCCATGCAGTGTTGGGAATCAAACATGGGGCTCTAGCATGTAAAGCATGTCCTCCAGCCCTTTGAATCATCTCCAGAGCCTGCGAGCTTTATCCAGTATAAACAGAAATACTAAGAATTGAGAAAGTAAACTGAGTTTAAAAGCAATCTTTCTAAAACTAGAAAATCTGTTCCTTCCTTAGATGAAGGATCTCCTATCCTTGCATTCATGTCCTTAGTTCTGTCCAACATAATCCCAAGGTCACAAGTATGATGAAAGTGGAAATGCTTCCATGCTAGTGCTGGATTGGCTCATGGGAGTGATTGCCGGTGCTTTCTAGATCAGAAGCCACAGTTAATCTGGCTGTACAAATGGGGTACACTGGGGGCTGGTCAGCCTGGTGCCCACCCAAACAGAGCCCCCTGGCAGCCACTTGATCCCACAATGTAAAATTGTTGCCATGTCTCCAGCTGCACACCACCGTCCTGGGATGGACCTCATGGAGATATTAACCTGCTGAAAATCTGGGTATGAGGGTTTTGTGAATGAAATCTCCAGAATTTTTTGGATTTGGGATGGGCTACCTCTCCCCACTTCTCTATACTTTTGAAAGCAGTAGCAGTCACTGCCATCAACCAACTCCAGCACTACCACAGAAGCTCTTCCACTGGCCACAACTCAAAGCCACCACAGTTGCAAACCATAATGAGAGAGAGAGAAAAGGAGGGGAAGGGGAAGGCCCACCACAGAGGCAGACACTGGGTGGGGTGGAGGTGAGGATTGGGGGATGGTAAGAGGAGGTAGGAGGCAAACTGGGGGCACTGGTGGTGGGAAATGTACACTGGTGGAGGGAGGTGTTGGAACGTTGTATGACTGAAACCCAATCATGAATAGCTTTGTGATGGCCTGTTTCATGGTGATTCAATTTTAAAAATGTTCTAAAATTAGAAAGCGGTAATAGGTTTGCAACTCTCTGATTACACTAAAACCACTGAAATTTAAATAAGCTTTAAATTGGTGAATTTTAAGTGCTATAGGAATATCTCACCAAGATTTTATTTTAAAAAGCTTGATTGTAGTATTTAAATGTGGGTGACTTAATTGAATGCACTATTGTATATATTCCATGTCATACAATATCACTTAGCATACTGTCAGGAAACATTGGCATACTGAAAATATTGCAGCATATTGTTGTCTGTCCCAATGTCTCTATAAAGTAGTGTTCTGGTCTCAGAACTAGTCTATGTTTTGGGTTTTTTTTTTTAATTTTCAGGAACAATTCGTTTATGTACAAGAGCATTTCAGGACAAGGGGCAGCTCTGCTGCCTTTTACAAAGCCTCCATCCACACCACCCCTCCTTGAGCACGGACTCCAGGACACTCAGCCCATTGGGGCCCAAGAGTCTGAAAGGCTGCCTGCCCCCGTCTACATGACACAATCATGTCCACATGACACGGCTGCCTCAGCTGTTCACCAGAGCAGACTGGAAAATCATAGCCTCTTACAGTGGTCTCACTGGCAGAGGGGGTCTGCTGGACTTGTAGCAGGCTTCGGCCTGGCTTATCCCATTGGTCTGAGTACCTAGCATGGAGCTGGTGCTCAGCTCAGGGCCCTGCCTGGTGCCAGCTCCTTCCATTTTGGTAAAAAGAAAACCCAAAGAGAAACCATGAAAACAGTGAGAGGATAGTAAACACAAGGGACTTCAAGAGAGGCACGGGGCAGGCTATCCTAGGAGGGCGTCTGGGGACAATCACTGGGTCCCAACAACTCTTGATGATCGTGGTCAGGGGGCATCCACTCTCTACAGTGATAGGACCCCACTAAGGACTGGGCACCCAGAGGGCATTGGAGGAGCAGGTAGAGGTCCACGGTTGAAGTATGCGGGGTTAGCAGGGTCTGCTGGATGTAGGAACATAGGTTGGGAGGCGGTTGATTGCCCAGACCCTTCTTGGGCCCTCCCATTTTGTCCCTGGTGGCCTCCCCAGACCACTGAGGAGAGGCCTCTGGGGATCTGGAAAGGGATAGTCCTAACCCCCACGGAAGCACAATGCACACACTTGGATCTACAGGCGTCTGTTGGCCAGCTCCTGTTCACGCCTGGGGGATCAGGGGACGGGGTGTCTGTGCGTCCACAGCTGACTGGCTCAGAGACATGGGAATTACCCAGAGACATCAGAAGTTTGTGTAGTCACAGTGACAGGTGCCCAGTGTGGGCACACAGCAAGGCTCCAGGCTGACAGGTGGGTGGCGATCCAAGAGGCCATGGTCAGCAGAAAGGCAGGTGCGACCGCCCTCCTCCCCTCCAGGTGGAGGGACGCCTAGTTCCTCAGGGCGGCCGGCCAGCCTCCTTGACAGCTGGTCCTCCTGGCTAGGCACGCCCATGGCTGAGGCACACTCAGGCAGCTGCCTCAGCTGGTCTAGGACCTCGAGGCCGTTCTCCTCAGCGATCTGCATAATGAGGCTGTCCACTTGCTCCTGTGGTGTGGTCAGTGTGGTGACCGAGCTCATGGAGTCTTCCGTCACCGAAGTGTGCACATTCAAGTTCTGCCCCTACTGTTCAAAACCTGTCCATCACCGCAGAGACCTTCTGCAGGTCCATGGCACTCAGGGCCCCGTCCAGGGCTTTGGTTCCCCACTTCATGGTCACAGCTGTCTGCACTTTGGAGGCCCCAACATCCACTTAGGATGCATCCACTTAGGATGCTTTGTGGGCCAGGTTACGCCTTTGTTATTCTTGAGGATGGCATTCTCAGCATACACTCACACACATACTTCTGCTGCAGGGCCTGCTTCATTTTTGCCTGTTCAGCCTTGGAGTCCTTCTCCACCTTCTCTGCCAGCTTCTCTACTTAAAACTTTAACTGAAAAAGGAGAATGCTGCTGAGCCAAGTACATGGGAGTTTCTAGTTAGATCCCTGAAATCAGATGGTCCCTGGCTCCCTAAGCAACAGCAGGAGTGACTCCTGAATCCAGAGATGGGGCAGCCCCAAAGCACTGACAGATGTGTCCCAGCCACCCCACATAAAAATACTGCTACTGGGGCTGGAGCGATAGCACAACGGGTAGGGCGTTTGCCTTGCACGCGGCCGACCCGGGTTTGATTCCCAGCATCCCATATGGTCCCCCAGCACCTCCAGGAGTAATTTCTGAGTGCAGAGCCAGGAGTAACCCTTGTGCTTCGTTGGGTGTGACCCAAAAAAACAAACAAAAAAATACTACTACTGTGAAAATTTGTGTACAGGTTCTATGTGAACCTACATTTCCAGTTTCTTTTACATACTTTGCCATAACTAGGTAATATGGTAATTACATGTTTAGCATTTTGTGAAGCTACTGAACCCTTTTAAATTGCCTAGAGCATTTTACGTTCCCACCTGCAATATCTGAAGGTTCAGTGTCTCCACATTCTCGCCCATACTTGTTACTTTATGTTTCTGATATTAACAGTCTTAATGGGTGTGAAGTGTCATCTCATTATAGTTTTGATTTGGATTTCCCTAATGGTTAGCAGCATTGAACATCTCTTCATGTAGTTATCAGCTGTTTGTATGTCATCTTCAGAGAAATGACTATTCAAATCTTTTGTTCAGTTTTTAATTACGTTTTTGTTAGTGACTTGTAAGCACTGTTTATACATTCTAATACAGGTTCTTTACCCGATACATAATTTCCATATATTTTCCTGTGTTTTTTTTTAAATATAGGAGTACCACTATTTATTCAGCCATTCATTAAGCTGATTGAATTAGGCATGAACTCCACATTAATTTTCTTAATTGAATCACCGTGAGATAGTTATAAAGCTTTCATGTTCAATATTCAGCTGTACAATGATCAAACACCCATCCTCCATCAGTGTACACTTTCCACCACCAGTGTCCCCAGTATATACCCCCTGCCATCCCAATCCTCCATGGCAGGCAGTTTCCCCAACACTCTCTACTTTAGGGCATTATGATTTGCTCAAATTTTCCCACAACCATTTAAGCCTGCCTGCCAGGGGCAGATGCTAGATCATTTATTGTCCATTCCTCATTTTGAATATCTTGGGTGCCACGGCTGCGTGCTTCTGGAATCCTAGATTGTAAATAGTTGGGTTCCAGAGACATTTCTGTAGGGTACTAAACCACTTTGTGATTCAATTAGGCATCTCTAGACCAGGGCTGAGATGGTGCCCAAAGGTACATTGCGGGCATGACAGCCAGGCCAATGAGCGATGGGGAGCCAGGGAGGGAAAGCCTAACACCTCTGCCACCATGTGGCATGGAGATTTAGTCCTGGAACCCGCATACCTGGGCCTTGCTTGTGGAAGCTGTTGGTCGCCAGGATTCCATCTGGAGTAGGTGGGGAGACTGTGTCTGCTCCATCTGGGGTGCCCCGGTGAAATTGGCTTGGTATGGGGCCCAGAGAGATCTCCAGTTCTGTGATGTCTTCCAGAACTCGCTGCTGTGTCTCTGGATTTTTATCTCTTTCGAGATTTATGGGTCTCTGAAGCAAGGCCAGTAATAGAGTTTACAGGGTGGCACTGGAATTGGTTTGTGGACTGCCAGTGCTTCCATGTGTATTATTGGAAAGTGGGGGGAAGTAGCCCACCCCAACTCTGTGAAAGCCTGGAGATTTCAGTCACAAAACCCACATACCCAAATTTTCAGCAGATTATACCTTGGTGAGGTCTGACCTAAGACGGTTGAGTCAGGCCAGGGGTATGGTGGCAATTTTGGATTGTGGAAGCAAGCAGCTGCTGGGGGCTCTGTTTGGGTAGGCACAGGCCAATCTGCACCCATCCGATTTACCCCAGTCTGTCAGCCATGCGCAGGTCCAAGATTAACTGTAGTTTTTGGTCTCTTTTGAGATTTTTTTTTATGGGTCTCTGAAATAAGGCCAATAAATGAGCTTGTATAGCTGAGCTGGAGGTGGTTTGTGGGCATGGCTCCCACATACCTAACTTTTGGCCACTTAATTTCTTGGTAAACTTGGTTCCAAGTTGTTGGGGTTCGGCCAAAGGCACAGCGGCAATTTTGGGGTGTCAGAAAGCCTGAAGGCACCATCAGGCTGCTGATGCACTCACCCTGCAGGTAGAGGTTTACCTGTTGGTGGCATCATACCTCACATTTTCACTTCTTGATGACATCCTTTGAAACATGAGTTTTTCAAGCTGTTTGCTGATGAAAGGCATTTGCTTTTGTTACCTGTATTTTTATATCATATATAAGTAACCTTTACTCAATTTAAGATCATGAAATATTATACCTATGTGTCAAAATAGATTCATTTTAGCACTTACATGTAGATCACTGGTACATTTTGAGCTACTTTTGTGTATGTTGTGAGTTGAGGCTCCAACTTCACATTTGGCATGTTTATATTATTTTTTTCAGCATGATTTCTTGAAAATCCTTCTCTTTTGGTAGGAGGCCTCTGGTGGTCAGTCCTTGGTGTTCCCTGAGATAAAAGCAGGGGCTCCCACATGCAAAACATGCATTCTAGCCCTTTGACCATCTCCCTGAAAGTAATTACTTGCCCCCACTGAATTCAGCCCTTATTGAAAAATCAACTGAGTAAAAGTTTTTTTCTGGATCATTGGTTCTGTTAATATATACATACCTTAATATATACATCTAACTTTATGGTATATATGAATGTTTATACTATATGAATGTTTCAAAATTGGAAAGCTATAAGTCCTTCAGCTATGTTCCTTATCAAGATTTTTTGGCTTTCCTGGATCTCTTGTATTCTTATATGACTTGTAAGATCAGTTTACCTAGTACAAAAAAAAAAGAGCTAGAATTTTGATATTGATTGCCTTGAATCTGTAGATCAGTTTGCAGAGTACTGCCATTTTAGCAGTGTTCCATTCTCCAGGCCATAAAAATGGTGTCTCTGTCATTGCATTGAGATTATCTTTAGTTTCTGTAAATACTTTGGGGTGAGGGTTTTGGCCACACCCAGCAATGCTTAGAGGTTACTCCTGGATTTGCACTCAGAAATTACCCCTGGCAGTGGTCAGGGACCATATAGAATGCCAAGATTGGCCACAAGCTTGTGCCCTACCCACTGTACTATCGCTCTGGCCCATGAAACACATTTCTAAAAATTTTTTTCAGTGCTATTTTCAGTGGAATTGTTTGCTTAAAGTTACTTTCAGATTCCTGCTAGTATCAGAAAACACAATTAATTGTATTACTCTTGTATCTTGCAACCTCAGATAAACTCATTTATTAGTCCTATTATAGTTTATGATTCCTTAGGATTTCTACGTATAAGCTGTTACTTAAGAATATAGTTTTATCTCCTCCTCTAGATAAAGTTGTTAAAAAAGAAAGGAAGAAAGAAGAGAGAGTTTTCTCTCCAGTCTTTAAATAGATTGCTTTGGCCTTATTTGTTGGCCAATCCAGGCAAGTCCCATCTTGTTGTGATTTGGTTGTGAGAATTTTTCCATCCTTAAATGCCATTTTTAACGATACAATAGAAAAGTTGTGTACAAGTGTATACCTGGTGCCTGTATACATTCACATACGTCATTCCCTCCGCCACAACAACCTCCATTATAGTCAAGGAACTAGAAATAAAGTTTACTCCGTTCTCATAGTTTCAGTAAAAGTATGCGACAGCGACGAGGAAAGACACACATAGAAGCAGCTGCTGTGTTATGTGCCCAAGGCTCGTGGCATTTTGCTGGAAAATTGTCATCTCTGGTTATGTTATACATTCACAAGCGCAGATTACATGACACCCCATTTCAGAGAATTGAGTTAGTGTTTCCTCGGTCAGGTTCTGGACATATCAATTTTGTCACCTTGGTCTTTTTACTGCATTAATGCCCTTAAGGGAGTAAAGTAATATGTAAGTGTCTTGGGGCAGGCACAGTTGTTGTGTGAATGTATTAAGAAATGCAACGCAGGGAAAACCTTTTCTCAAGGCACCATCACAATTTTCTTTTTTGGGGGGGTGTCACATTGGCGATGCACAGGGGTTACTCCTGGCTCTGCATTCAGGAATTACTCCTGGCGGTGCTGGGGAACCATGTGGGATGCTGGGAATCGAACCCGGGTTAGCCACGTGCAAGGCAAACACCCTCCTTGCTGTGCTATGACTCCAACCCCACCATCACTATTTTCAAGGTATATGTAGACACCACCATGATACTCCGTCACTGATCTCACTATAGGAATCCAGTCTTTCACATTTCTAAGTCAGATATGGATCTTACAACTTGCAAAAGCATGTGTGTTTTTTTTAATTTTTAATTTAATTTTAAAAAGTAAAAATAAATCACAATGTTTGATTACATTTAATATTTGGACACCAATCCCACCACCACTACACCTTCTCACAACCGTTTTTCCACCCAAACCCCAAACATTGCCCCCAAAGCAGAACCAAAATGATAGGTTTTGAATTGCTTGTTATGAATAATCTGCTAAAAATGAAACAAAAAAGATTTTTTAGACAAAAAAGTGTGAAGATTATTAAATTTCACCCAGAAGACATTAAGCCCTTTTATAATAGATTAGTAGTATGTTGTTAAGGTTGAGCCTTTAGTGCCAATAACTGTATCTGTATAAATATATTTCCCCTTAAGAGTGGCTTCTACTTTAAACCCTATCAAATGTGGTGTGCTACTCTTGGTATACTGGTGATGTAAGTACGAAATGGCGCGGTCCAGGAATAGATTCACTCGTAGGTGAGGCTCGTACAAGTGTGTGGAGAGCGACCGTGAACATGGTGTTGGTTGAGTTCTGGAGGTTTTCAGCTGTCAGGGCTAGCTCTGTTGGGGCAGGGAAGGGCCTCACCCGCTACCCTCTAGATTGCCCACATGAAACAGCCTGGCGCGGGGTCTAGAGGCATAGCTATGGCATATCCTGTGTTCTTATTTCCTGGTCTAAGAAATAATACATAATACAGTGCTGCTACAGCATAACCATTCTGCATCCAAGTGTAAGGTAGTCCACATTCACATTAGTGAGAGGTTAGTTAGCCTTGCCTAGGCTAATCCAGTCATTGGGCTACTTTTTGAGCTAGACTTTTATAATCAGAAAATGGCTTTTGCCCTTTGTGTTCCTAGATAAGGATAATAAAATTATGATCTCATCTTTCTTTCATTTAATTTCTCATCCTAAAAATACCAACTTGCTTGGTTGCTCCACTAGATGCAGTTATCACTACCACAACACTTTTGTTCATAAGGTTAAGTGAATTCTGAAATATGATCATTCCTCAGACTCCTGCAATAAGCTCACTCTTGAATTAGCTCTGGTTTCCTTAATCACTTTGGTTGTTTGGGGAGCAAGGAGTCCTACAGCACTTAGCAATAGAATCTCCTGAAAACAGATGTTAACCTTTTAATATTTGTTTTAGTAAGGAGGAGATGAGGCAAGGGTAATCAAAAGACTTAGAACTTAATTTTAAATTATAGGATGGGGAAATTTTGAAGGACTGCACTTGTTTTACACGAGCTAATGAGGGTTCTGTTGGCATTTCTTGGGCACTTACAAATCAAAATGTAAGGTAAAAGTGAGCCTTTATTTTTGAGATGGGTTGGAAAGCTGTATCTTTGAACTTTATGTTGAAATTCTGCCATAAGGTTTTTCAGGGCACTGTGAGAGATGCCACATCACCAGTCTGCCTTGTTTTATGCTTCAGGGTGCTGCTGGTTTTTGAATTATACATTTTGTTTTTACTTTGTTTTTCCCCTTTCATTCTTTATAGATGATCACAGTAGGGTGAAGTTAAGACCTTTACCAGGAAAAGACTCTAAGCACAGCGACTACATTAATGCAAACTATGTCGATGTAAGTCAGAAATGTTTCTATAAACCTTTTTGTGATGATTGAAGAGTGTTGCAGAGACTGCCGAATGTGTTTTAATACTGCACAGAGCTCTCACTAAAAACATGGCCTATTCAATATGGAAGGCACTTGAATTATTAACTGTTCTGTGATACTGCTTTCATCTTCCTTTGTGCTGTGTCATCTTTGAAGGGTTACAACAAAGCGAAAGCCTACATTGCCACCCAGGGACCTTTAAAGTCTACGTTTGAAGATTTCTGGAGAATGATTTGGGAACAAAACACTGGAATCATTATTATGATTACGAACCTTGTGGAAAAAGGAAGAGTAAGAGCCTCTTGACTTAATATATAATCATGTATCTCCATGTTTAAAAATTGTGAAGTATTATTAAAGTATTAAAATATAAAGTACCTGCTTCAGGATAAGACTTGACCAGGTATAAAGAGCTACAGAAATTAAAAGTATTCAACCTTTGCATGTGGTCTAGTGGGACAGCTAAGCACAGGTAAAGGTGGGTAAAATGTGATGAAGGATGAAAAGGGCATTGTTGGGAAGTTCTGCAGAATGAATGGATATATCCACTAATAAGGAGATTGTAGAATACAATAGGATATTGTAAAGGGGATATTGTAGAATACAATAGAGATATATTGTAAAGGATATTGTATAATACAATAGAAATATTGTAAAGGAACTGATACTTGATGTGAGATATGAACAATGAGAAAGAACATTGCAAATATAGTAGGAAGGAAAAAAGTTACTAAAACTTTAGATTAGGAGACATGAAACCTCACTTTAACACATTCATTACTAAAACTTTTTAAAATAAATGGTTAATATATTAGAATGTATTAGATTGTACAGGGCGCTAATTTAAGACCCAGGTTCATTATTTAGAACACGCTTTTTCTTCATGTTAACTGGAGGGTTCTATTTGCCTTTGGTGACCCAAGTTTAATTTACAGTGATTACAGCTAAGTTTCCTAATTGATACTTAAGTTCCCTTTGTCATATAATCTATGCTCCTATTTTACATATTTCACAAATATACAGGCTTCTTTCTTGGGTCTCTGTAAAGCTCAGCATGTGTTGAAAGACGATCATGGATCTTAGGCCTATTTCCAAAATGATTTTGGTCCAAGTTGTCCAAAGATTACTTCTTTAGGGATGATACAGTCCCGTAAGCAATTTTGCCCTTTTTGGGTCAACTGTGTAAAGAAATTACCTTTTTTAAACAGTCACTTGAAATTACTGTATCAACAGAATTGTGTCATAAATTGCACTTGCAACTTTTCTTTTTTATAGCGAAAATGTGATCAGTATTGGCCAACCGAGAATAGTGAGGAGTATGGAAACATTATTGTCACACTGAAGAGCACAAAAGTACATGCCTGCTATACCATTCGTCGTTTTTCAGTCCGAAATACAAAAGTGAAAAAGGTAAACTCATGAAAGAGAGTGCGCGTGGTCAGATAGTTAACTAGGGGACTAGAGAACTGCTTGGTATGGAGGAACCCCAGATTTGACCCACGGGGCTGAATCTGAGCACTTCTGGGCATGGCTCTGAAATAGTGAACTGCCAGGGTGTCAGCACTGCACTGAGATTGGCCACAAATGGCCTCCATCCTCACCCTTTTAACTGGCATCAGTGTTTAGTAGGAAAGATCCTCACAAAGCACCTAATAAAATGTATCTGACCAGATTGATTAATTTCCTGAAAGTTTTAAAGCATTGCTTCCCACAGCATATTTCAAGGAATACTAATCATACAATATGCATGTAAAAATCATATTCTGCCATTGATTACAAGAAGTTAATGCTACATAATATGTATTTCCCCTGAAAATTTACAACTGGCTAGACAGTGCTAGAGGTAGTAATCCTAGAATTGTATCAACAGTTGTGGCTTTTGTTTACATTAAAAAATTAAAAACAACAAAAATATGTTTAACAGAAGACTTACATTCTAGATAATAGTCTTTAAAATTGGGCCAAACACCCCACAAGTTTGAATGTTGACTGGTTAAGGGCGTTGGGTCATCCCACACCCCTAAGTTAAGCTTTCAGAGGTCTTGGAAGGAAACATCATACCAGGTGGTTTACTTGGGGGAGATTTTCACCCAACAAAGTTAAAATATAAATAGTTTAACCACTTAAACTACATCACAAATTTCACTTATGAATATGAAATGAATTCATTGCTGATTTTAGAGATTGAGGCAGAAACTTGGAGGCTTTGTAGACAAATCACAAAATAATTTAGATGGTTCTAGATGCTACCTGATCCTACTCATCCTTGTAGGTAATCTCTTTCATGGGATGAGATGGTCACATAGAGGACATAACACAGCCGGCGAAAGTAAAGATCATAGGTTACGTGTCCCACCAAATTCATGTCATGCACTCTAGTCCTTGTATTCCTTTGTCCAAAATAGAGCCCCAATTCACAGATACATGTTTTCACCTTTTTCATAGGGTCAGAAGGGAAATCCCAAGGGTCGCCAGAATGAACGGGTGGTGATCCAGTATCACTACACACAGTGGCCTGACATGGGAGTTCCAGAGTACGCCCTCCCTGTCCTGACCTTTGTGAGGAGGTCCTCTGCAGCCCGCCTGCCAGAGATGGGTCCCGTGTTAGTGCACTGCAGGTAAGGCTGGCCTCTTCTTCCGTTTGGGATTCAGGATATGAAGTGAGCATGCCCACCCCCTCTCCACTCTTTGCTTCGGGGTTGAAGAGATAGTATAGTGGGTAGGGCTTGCATGTTGACTAAGAGGAATTTTATCCCCAGCATCCAATATGGTCCCCCAAGCCCACTAGGATTAAGCCCTGAACACCACCAGGTGTGTCCCAAATCCCCTCTTCCTGGAAAAAGAAAACAAAAACAGAAATTAAGTCTTCTACTATAACTAGAGGGCTGGAGTGATAGCAAAGCGGGTAGCACGTTTGACTTGCACATGGCCGACCCGGGTTGGATTCCTCCGTCCCTCTCAGAGAGCCCAGCGAGCTACAGCCCACCTGCACAGCAGAGCCTGGCAAGCTACCCGTGGTATATTCAGTATGCCAAAAACAGTAACAGCAAGTCTCACAATGGAGACGTTACTGGTGCCCGCTCGAGCAAATCGATGAACAACAGGAAGACAGTGCTACAGTGCTACTATAACTGGAAGTTATTCTAAAATAGGAATTTCTATAAATTTTAAGAAAGTGTCTGTGCTTCAGAGGAGGAAATTAAGTCTGCATTTGGAATGAATTCTCTACTTTTTTTTTATAACATCTATCAATAAAACCCCCACTGTAGGAATTATCAGCTGTACCAAATTTATAAAAATCTCATCTCAACCACAAATTTTCGTACTTGGGCTTGAAACCACTGCTTCAAATAACATGTATTGCATGTGTAAAAGACGTTTATTTTCAGATTTTTAGCCTGTACATACTATATTTAAAAATGCACAGGGAAGGCTTGTTTCCCTTCCTAAACTAAGTATCTTTAACCGGCTGCTAAAAAAACTGCTTTTACTTGAAATTGCATTCTTGGCTAATTTTCACTTTGATATTCAAATAGAAATTGCTTATTCCATCTTTTATGCTATATAGCTGTACAGCATTTTCTAAGCATTTCTTTAGGTTGTTCTTATCTTTTCCACAAAGAAAGCTCTTGCAGAATCTGGAACCCATAATCCGTTTAAAATCCCATGAGAATTGTGCATTTTTTGCTAACACATTTAGGAATTATTGAAATTGTCTATCAAAATGACTTAGGTTTTGTTGAAGTTGTGGAACACTTATTTGCAAATTCTTCCCAAAGAAGCTTGTACTCTAGAACTTAGCTCTGAGTACTTTTAAAAAAAAATGACTAAGAAATGTGATTCTGATATTATCCATGGTGGTGAAAAATGGGCACTGGTGGAGGAATGGGTATCTGATCATTGTATACTTGAAACCCAAGCACAAAAAATTGTAAATCTACAACTGTAAAAAAAAAAATTAAATAAAGGGGGGAAAAAAAAAAGAAAGAAATGTGATTCTGTTGTGAAAAGAGTGCTTTCAAATAAGGTAACTTGCATCTTTATGTAAGTTTTCCCCTGTTCCTCACATAAAGGTAGTCTCTGCTCCTCATTGAGACTCAAGAGGTAAGAAATGTCCTAATAAAGTTGTTAGATTCTATAGCCATGACTAGTTTGTGTTGTTCAGGCACATTATAAACATTTGGGTTGTAATTATTTTTCAATCCACAGTCTCTGACATCATAAAGCAAAAGGTACTAGTTGAGTATATTCATTTCTTCCAGTGCTGGTGTGGGCAGGACAGGCACCTATATTGTAATAGACAGCATGCTTCAACAGATAAAAGACAAAAGCACAGTTAATGTCCTGGGATTCCTGAAGCATATCAGGACACAGCGTAACTACCTCGTCCAGACTGAGGTAAGGAGTAGCTATTCCTGTTCTCATGAGATTCTACATGCTTTAACTGAAAGTCATAATATTGAGGACGCAAATTCACTCTATTAGGACTTGAAGTCACATGCAGATTTAGAACATATACTGACCATAATCTTGGGGGTCTGCTAAAGTGCTGGCCTTGCACATAGCAGACCCAGGTTCAGTTCCCTGAGCATCAGTCTGCGTGTGGCCCCCTTCCAAAAAAATTATGTTCTTTGGCTCAAGTTTTTAATACTCTATAGTCATTGAATCTGTATTTTCTTCAGTAAGCACTTACAAAGAAGTTGCAGTTGTATTTGATGATTTGGGGACCTAAAACATGCTGTTTAACCTCAAAAGTTTAAGTGAATGGTTCTTAAGCCCTTCACTGAATATACATCACTCACTTGCTCTATCCCTAGAATAAATTAAAAAGAATAAGCAACAAAATACTGAAGCAAATCCCCCAGCTGAACTCTTTGCAGGACGTCACATCTACATTGGGGAGTGGGGGAGGGGGCAGCAGGAAGGCCCTTACAGGGAGAGGTAATGAAAGGAATACTTTAGGAAGGATGGATTGGTTACCCTCTAAGAACTCTCCTTGACTAACTACCAGTATCATCCCTTTCAGGAGCAGTACATTTTCATCCATGATGCCTTGTTGGAAGCCATTCTTGGAAAGGAGACCGAAGTATCTTCCAATCAGCTACATAGCTATGTTAACAGCATTCTCATACCAGGTGTAGGAGGAAAGACAAGACTGGAAAAACAATTTAAGGTTGTTCTTTGTATAATTGTCTTTGCCAACAAAACAGGGAAGGTGTTACTGATAAAAAGAAATCTCCATGAAAGCTGGAGAGATAGTGCGGCCAATAAGAAAATTAACTCGCTCATGTGGGATTTGATCCCTGGCACACCATATGGTCTCCAAGCAGTGCCCCTCATTCCTCACCAAAGAAAACATAATACATCTAACGTGTATTTAGGTAATTCTTAAGATCTGAAAAATCCCAAAGGAATTAATTTAAACGCTTGTCATTTTTAAACACTAAGTACTTCTCTATTTTCTATTTTTCTTTTATGCAGTGATGGAAATGAGATTAATCTGTGCTGTTTGTTTTTATGGTACAATTTTCCACAAGCTCTGAAACTTCATTTGACTCTAAGGTGCAAAAATTTCCAAGCAAATTTTAACAAGTCATATGAAGTGAAAGATAGATTACTGTTATGATGGAATTCTTAAACCCTCTTGAGATTATTAGTAGTGAAGGTTTGTGTTTGTTTTAAAGTGAGTTTTTGAAAACAAACAAACAGAGTACCAGGACTGGAGAAATAGGACAGCGGGTAGGGTGCTTGCCTTGCACACAGTGGACCCAAGTTCAATCCCCAGTACCCCATAGTGTCCTGTCTGCAGAGCCAGGAGTTGCCTCTCCCCCCAAAAATTATATATATACCAGTATTTCCTAAAATTCTGCCTTTTCCATTGCCACACTATATATTGATGCATACTTCTTAAAAACCTACATTAGAGAAAGCAGTTCGTTCCATGGAAGCCACATTACTAGTTTAGTGGGGTTTTTTTGTTTGTTTGGTTGTTTTTTTTCCTATAGGCATAACCACTTTACCAAGGGCTTTGACACAAATACTGAAGTATTTGGAGAATACTCTTCCTAAATACTTTGATGAATACACTGTTTTCCCCATTACTAATAGAAGTCAGGAAGGAAGAGTCACCCAACTCCTGGGCTAATTATGTATAATAGACAGAATAATGTTATTTTGACAGAAATTTCTTGAGAACCTAGAATTTCCTTGTCTTCAAAAAAGTGATAAGCTTTTATTGCCATTGAGTCTTTTCTGGTGTAGACCTACCTTAGTCTCAAGTGCTTGTGAGGAATTACAGAGAAAAAAAATCACAGAAATATTGACAATCAACAGGAAAATCCTTATTATTTATTAAGTGGGTTTTCTCGCATTACCATATCACAGAGAAGCTAAGACTTGGTAATAAAAATAAGCATACAACCAAGGCAACTGAGAGATATATGTCTACTGAGATACACACAAAAATGCTTGTTCATCAAGCACTTGATCATTAGGTTTTTTAATTTTCCAGTTTTATTGTAATAATTCACATTAGAAGTTGATGTAAGGTATATGATATATAATATATAATTGATATAGTGTAATGATTTAATATTCTATAAAAGAAACGATTGTCAGAATAATACTGGTTAATACCAATCCACTTTTGAGTGAAAAACTAAAGTCTTGCTTGTTTTTTTAGCTGGTCACACAGTGTAATGCAAAATATGTGGAATGCTTTAGTGCTCAGAAGGAGTGTAACAAAGAAAAGAACAGAAATTCTTCAGTTGTGCCAGGTAAGATCTTAAAATCAGCTCATGTTAGTTGAATGCACTAGTTTGTTTTTCATTGGATCATGTTATGCAGAGTGAAGGAAACTACACTAAAGACCACTAAAGCAGCAGTTACATCAGAGTAACAAATCTCTGTATTTTTATGACAGAAGAGCTAGTAAACTTCAAATTCAAGAATTAGGTTTCTACCCTGTGTTAATGCCACAGTAACAGTTTTTAGCCTTCTCTTAAATCACAGGCATGGATTATTCGTTGTAACTGCATCATTTTATCATTCAGGCTCTACAGATCAAGGGCATCAGTGACCTATGTACACGTAACTTAAGACACAGAAGAGGAAACTCTTTGTTTAGACAAGCAGGGGTAATCATTGGAGAGATAATCTCTACTGAAAAAGGCCACTGTATCTAAGCCCTTTATGGAGAGAAATGGACAAGGGGTTGGCAAAAGAATATGTTTAAATAGTGGAATAATATCAAATCAGGCTAAAAAATTTACTAAAGTCCTGTCATCTCTGTACAGAGTATTGTCAGTTGTCTGCTGTGAAAACCTCTATCACAGTAAAAAAAAAATTATTCCTATAATGTCAGTGTTCTTCTGAGAATGTGTGGCAAAATTTCATTTTACGTTGTCTTAGCTAACACTTTGACTTGGGTAAAAAAAATATAGTGTATCCTAAGAAGAAAGGAGCATCAGGGAGATCTATTACTCCTCAGGTCAGTCTCAGAAAGCATGGTTGGTTCTGTGTATTTAATAAGGCAAATGTGATGTTTAGTTGTTTTTTTTTTCCCCGTAATAGCCGAACGTGCTCGAGTGGGCCTTGCACCATTGCCTGGAATGAAAGGAACAGATTACATTAATGCTTCTTATATCATGGTGAGAGTCAACAGTTAATTATAAATAAAGACAATTAAACTGAAAGGTGCTAAAGATCAAATACCACCTAGGTGGCTGATTGCATTTTTTCAAATAATTTCTTAATGTGTAATATCAAAATTACAGAGAGTTCTGTATCTTGAAACCTTTAACAAAAGTCACCTAAGCAGTGGGAGAACAAAAATGCTTGTTAAGGAATTAATTTTATTGTTAATTTCACCCATGTAGTTTTTGAATAACTGTTGAAATTACTAGTAAGTAAAAACAGCAGGGGTAACTAGAAGTGAATAGCATGTGGAGAGAAGAAAATTGTCTGCACTGGCAAGCACATCCAAAAAAATATCCAAATGTACTGTCTTTTTTAACTGTTTTAGGGTGAATCAACATATTACTGAATTATTTTGCAAATATGTTTTATTAATACAGAGTTCATTAAAACAAGACTCATAATCACTATTTTATTTTCCTAACTGAAGGGCTATTATAGGAGTAACGAATTTATTATAACCCAGCATCCTCTGCCACATACTACGAAAGATTTCTGGCGAATGATTTGGGATCACAATGCACAGATCATTGTCATGCTGCCAGACAACCAGAGCTTGGTAAGGAAAGCATTCTGCTATACATTAATGAGATCTGTGAAGCCATGAGTGGAAATTACTTTGACACCTCAGTCCAAGGCTATATAATGGCTGTGGGTCTAGGGATGGAATTTAGACTTTACAACTTGAAGTCTGAACCACTCTCACAATGGCAGCATAGGAAGGTAATAAGGAAGGTCTATGCCAACTTAGAGGTCCTTTTTAGACTTAGCAACTCTTACCTCTTTTTCTTTCTCTGGAACTCAGGCTCTATAGAAGAGAGTGATCAAGTGTATAAATATATGCTTAAATATTTGTGTTTAAAGGGTCAGAGTGATAGTAGAACAGATAGAACATTTGGCTTGCATACAGCTGACCCAGGTTTGATCTCCTGTGTCACAAGCCCTTGCAGGAGTAAACCCCAAAAACAACAACCACAACAATAAAAATGCGCTTAGATCTCATTGCATGAGTTGGGTCCTCCAAAGTTACAGTGAGAACACTATAAGCGCACAATGTAAAAACAATATGGACGTGCCTCTAGGAGTGTCAGATTAGAGCTTTTGAAATTTGTTCCAGTTTAACTTCTTTATGTAATTTATATAAATGACAAAGTTATTCACGAATTCACGCATACAGTGTTCTAACACCAATCCCTTCACCAGTGTCTCCAGTTTCTCCCCCTCCCCCCCCCCCCCCCGCCATCCCCCAGCCTACCTCTGTGGCAGGCACAGTGGTTTATGTTACTGAGAGAGTATCATACATGTTACTTTACTGTATCCTTTCAGCACCCAAAGTGACCACTACCTTCCATTGTTATCATAGTGGTCCCCGTCCTGACCTGCCTCCCCTCCCCCTACATTGGCAAGATTCACACTAAGGGCCAGTTCTCCTGTCAATTAGAGGGTTTGTTTTTTTAATTGGGAGAGAAAGGCTGTGATTGAGCCCTTAGACTCGATGACATGCATTTGACTGTGTGCCCAGTCAACAGGAACTTCTTCACTGTGTCGCATTTAGCTTCGGAACACCAAGACTGTTCTCTATGAGAGAGTGGCAATTAAGTTGAAAATATTAAACTAAAAACTGGAGTGTAAATTTTCAAAGTAGCTGGCAATAGAGGTCTACTCTGTTTGGCACATGGAGGCACTTAGGTTGTTGAAATAGTTCATTTGTTGGGTAGGTCAGTATTTTGCTCTTATCACTTAACAGAGAACAGTCACCAAAAGCTCCTCTGTATGGAAGAGACTGGATTTCTGGTGTCTGAGTCATGAGAGTGACAGTCTGCAGATGGAACTCCCTGAACTATGCCCCTCTAAGGCCCATCAGTGCTAGGCTCTACTTATTCCCATTGGAGATCACAAGTCCAGGACTGAAAGTCAGATTGCTGTGATTTCTCTACAATTCTGTTACTAGTCCAAAAGTCACCAGTCTATATTTCAGAAAACACTGTAGTACATGCCTAGGGATCTTTTAAATAACAATCTGTAAGCAAAATAACTATGAGTCCAGAATTAACAGAATAGCATTCATAGTTCTTCAAAATGATCAGTTATTCCTTAATTTAAATCTATATTCAATATATGTCTCCCTGACTAACACTCAAGAATAGCAGAGTACCAAGCTTTAAGTACCAAGAGCTTTCTCCATGGTTTGGAGGCCAGCCACACACGCTGGGGGAAAAAGCAGCTCAGATAGAGAAGGGAGGACCAAATAAAGGGTGTTGGGAGAATCCTCCCAGGATGGGAGAAGCATGCTGAAAGTAGACTTTAGACCGAACATGATTGCCACTCAGTGCCTCTTTTGCAAACCACAGCACTCAAAGGAGAGAGAGAACAAGGGGGAATGCCCTGCCACAGAGGCAAGGTTGGATGGGGGGACGGGGGTGGGGGGGAGGGATACTGGGATCAGTGGTGGTGGAGAATGGGCACTGGTGGAGAGATGGGTATTTGATCATTGTATAACTGAAACCCAGGCACACAAATTTGTAAGTCTACAACTGTACCTCATGGTGTTTCACTAATAAAAATCTAAATAAATATATATATATGTGTCTCCCTTCACTTACTAAAATATTACTTAAATATACCCTTACTAAAATATTCTTTATTATCCCACTTCTCAGATATGGAAATGAAGGCATACTATATTAATTTTAGAATTACATCTCATCCCAAGCTTAAACTTTGCATATACATTAAATTTGGAGGTCAGGTCCATTAAAAGGGCCCCACTTCCTTGGACAAAATATATTAAAACCTGACAGAAACTGCTTTTGTATAGACTAACCCAGTTGCTAATCTGTTTCCCCTTATGCTGAGCTTTAAAAATAAAAATGTACTTGGCAATAATGTGCACTGAAACTTGAAAGGGTGATAAGTCTTATTGGACTCCTGGCTCATTTCTAATGCAACAATGTAAGATTAAACAAAATCATCTTTGTTTTGAACATTATCTGAATTATTTCTGACTTAGTAGTAGTAGTAGCAAAGCATTTTCAGGGTAAATGCCTCAAGTTTACATATATATAAACGAAGTAATTGCCATTTGAATTTGAAAAGGAGTGAAGTTTTCTATGATCATTATTTTTCTCACAAAAGTCACCACGCTCCTCAAAATTAACGCCTGCATGATAAAAGGCCGAGTGATTTTCAATGTATCCTTCTTTAGAAATGTTGAACACATTACCTTTTTAATAGCGCTTTATACTTTCGCACAGCTCCTTTCCAAAAGGCTCAGTTAACATTTATTAGCAGTGTTATTTTAAGCAATATAAGATTTTCAGCCCTTGTTATTCTCATCTGTAAAATTCCAAGATAAAAAGTCTTTAATTCCTTACTTTTCTAGTATGTTGTATCACACTAAAATAAGGTCTGTGAAAATTTTGTAAGATGCTAATTAACTATGGAATTGTAACTTAGAAATCATAGGAAACAATTAGCTTGTTTTGGATCCGTAAGTGATTGTGAAACAGAAGAAAATTTACTCTTCTGCCACTTTTATTACTTTGTTTTGGTCACATCTGGCTTCAGGGCTACTGCTTGCTTGGGGGTCACCTCTGGCATTACTCAGGAGAATGTATAGAGCCAGAGAGAGAAACATGGGCCTCCACATCCAAGCATTCACTGTACTGTCATTTCTTTTGCTTCACAATTGGTTTGTGTATATATATATATATAATCGCCCCTGTAGAAGAAATATTTTTGGTAGTTACAGTAGCATAAGTGCAGAGTACTAACAATTATGTGTGAAGTCTATTTTACAACAGAATGTAGTAACCATTGAACTCCACATGATTAGATTGGAGATATACTTCTATAAAAGGTAAAGGTAAAGGCCCTCCCGTTGATCGTCGATTTGCTCGAGCGGGCCCAGTAACGTCTCCATTGGAGACTTTGTTGTTACTGTGTCTGGCATATCGAATACTCTCGGTAGCTTGCCGGGCTCTCCGAGAATATGGGAGTGCCAAGTGATGGTGATTAGATCACATGCTTTGCATGTGGGGAGCCCCAGATTCCGTGCAGAGCATGGCCCCGGGAACCTCAGGGTGTGCCCTCCTCCTCAAAGTGGGGGAAAATGAAAAAAAAAATGAATCTCAAGAAATTTCCAAACTAAATGTGACAGCAAGTGTAGAAAAATTCTATTTTTGTTCCTTCCAATAGGCAGAAGATGAGTTTGTATACTGGCCAAGTCGAGAAGAATCCATGAACTGTGAGGCCTTTACTGTCACCCTTATCAGCAAAGACAGACTGTGCCTCTCTAATGAAGAACAAATTATCATTCATGACTTTATCCTCGAAGCTACACAGGTAACTTAAACCTCACTTCCTCAGTAATAGCCTAAGCAGTAATAAAGTAATTTACTATCCTGGAGAAAGACTCAGGCATTTGAGTCTCACTAAATTTTAAGTATGTACATTTCTTTCCCTTTCCTTCAAATATTTGCTTTTTCAAGATGGATAGCTGAAATATAACAGTTCCTCTGAGCATATGCATGCAAATAGGCCTGCTGACCTAATTATAGAAGCAAGATTTTTTTTTTCTTTGCCATCAGAAATGTAATCCCTGCAATGTTGCAGAGGTGATTTTAAGGGGTTTTTTTTTTCCCCCCTCAGTGAGATAGCTCAACTATTTTATATTAACCTCTTTGATGCTTTTGGTAGACTCAAAAATAGACTTTTCTAGTTCTCATCTGAAGTTTGTGCTTGAGCAGGGTTCTATGTTACTACCATGACCTACTATGTTCAGTGGGCCTCCCTAGTATTTTACTTCTTACCAGCCACACTTAGCTAGATTCGCGGAAGTTATGCGTGTGATAACGAATGGACTGTGATGACTCGTGTTGTTGGTTGTAGGATGACTATGTCCTAGAAGTTCGGCACTTTCAGTGCCCCAAATGGCCGAACCCGGATGCTCCCATTAGCAGTACCTTTGAACTTATCAATGTCATCAAAGAAGAGGCCTTAACACGGGATGGCCCCACCATTGTTCATGATGAGTATGTGCCTTTTTCTTAATTTAAATCTTCAGTTATCCTTGTATTACTATAGAAGTGGAAAGGGTTTTTTTGTTTGTTTGTTTCAACAATCTGATGAAGTAGTTGCACATTCAAATCACACTGAATTTCAGGTAACACGTATTATAAAAGGAACTATTTAAAATATGCACCACCAGTTCAAACCTTAGTGCTGCCCACATAAGGTGATCCTGACTGTCTCAGAAGATATTTTACTCAAAGGAAAATTAAAAATCAATAAATATGTGATTGAGATCATTCATGGTGGAAAAGAAACCTTGAAAGAACAAAGCGTCTCTGTGAATATTGTTCAAATCCAAACTCTCACATCAGCAAGAGACGAAGGTCTTAAACCTACAGTGTATATTTGAATTCAAACTTCATGTTTGAAATTGATCTATAATTTCTATAATACCAAACATATAATTTCTATAATACCAAACATTTTTGCCAATACATCACTGGTTCTCCCCTCTCGGAGAGCCTAGCAAGCTACCGAGAGTATTCGATATGCCAAACACAGTAACAACAAAGTCTCCAATGGAGACATTACTGGGCCCGCTCAAGCAAATCGACGATCAGCGGGAGGGCCTTTACCTCTTTGGGCTGGAGCGATAGCACAGCGGGTAGGGCGTTCGCCTTACACGCGGCCAACATGGCCGACCCGAGTTCGATTCTTCCGCCCCTCTCGGAGAGCCCGGCAAGCTGCCGAGAGTATTCGATATGCCAGACACAGTAACAACAAAGTCTCCAATGGAGACATTACTGGGCCCGCTCGAGCAAATCGACGATCAACGGGAGGGCCTTTACCTTTACCTTTACATCACTGGTTCTATACATCCATTCCTGTTTTATTTACAAGGTAGCTCGCTTAAAAAATAACCAGGAGATCAGAGAAATAATACCATGGGTAAGGCATTGCCTTGCATATGGCAGACCAGTTTTGACTCATGGATGGCATACATATATTTCCCCAAGCACCGCCAGGGAGTAATTCCTGAGCATCTCTGGGTGTGGCCCAAAAGCCAGAAATAAGGGGGAAAATTATCTGTGCATGCATTGTATATTATCAAATTATCAGTATAAATAATAATAATTGGTGATAAAGCATTGCCTTTAAAATTCTGTATGTGTGCAAGACTCAACACCAAAGTTTCAGTGCCAACCCAACGGCTCTGATCAGCAGAGTAGTATCCCGTTGAGTAATACACCACAATTTCTATATCAGTCATTGATTGATGGCCATTGTGAATGATTTAGAAGCAAAGTATGCACATATCCTGTGGATAAAAGGCTAGGAGTAGTGTTGCTGGACCATAATGAATTACTCTCTTTCATGAATGTAAAGCCATATTACTGATTGTTTCTAAAGCATTGTGTGGTCTTTCTTAAGAAAACAATGGTTATTTCAACCTTCAGGCCTGACTATGAAATTGAATAGAAGAACATTACATTTAAGTGTAACACAGTAATAACCTTGGAAAGACAATAGCATTAAAACAACTGTGAGTTGTTACTAGTCTATGAAATTTCAGAGTAGGAAGTTAGGGCTGATTCTAAAGTTTTTTCTCCACTAATTCAAATCAGCTTCTTAAGTAATTTCTGAACATCACTATCTTATCAATTCGGACTGATTCCAATGTTAATGATAGCATTCCAGAGAATTTCTTCCAAAGCTAGTGATGCAGTTACATTGTATTTCATGGTAATATGTGGGAAGATAAAAACAAAAACAACTAGTTAAATGGAACTGTTTTATTTAATTCAGCTATTAGGCATCTTATGCTAAATATGAGAAAAATCATACTTACGCAATAGATTTGCAAATATCTTTGGAGCGCATCCCTTCCTGAAAAACTAATGTATATGTTCCTTAAATTTTCCAAGACCTGTTAGTGTATTCTGTGCTCTGAATGCCATTTACCTTGGTTTGCATTTTACCTTTCCTAAAATCAAATTAAACAGTTCCCACCTGCCCCATTCACACAGCTACAGAAACCAGAAACATCACATCTTTCTGAATGCCCCTCCCACCCACTACCACGTCTTGTTTAGAGTACCATTCTTTCACATTCTGGTCTGAGTTTATGTTTCGAGCTACCCTTCCAATCTGTCCCCTTACCCCTGCAAATACCATTTCCTCTCTTCTCTCCATGCCCTTTCATTCAGTGCACACTTTAAAAGTCACTCCCTTTGAAACTGTCTCTAACTCATCCTAGAGGTGAGCGGCAAGCAGGTCCTTGCCAGTGTCATTCCTATTTGTCATGTCCCAAAACGACTTGTCCACATGACTGTGTCCAGTAACTAATTGGTAACTTGTTGTAATCTCAGGGGTGAAGCCATGCCTAACACAACTTAGTTCTGTTTCATATTGTTTTGTTGTTTTTGGGTGACAACCAGCAAGGCTGACTCCTGACTCTGTGCTTGGGAAACCATATGGAATGATGTGAATTGTACCCCGTGTCTCATTTTGCCTGCTTAAATTTTGTTGTGAGAACCAGAAAAGCAATTTACAGGGCCACGGATATAGCTCAAGTGGTAGATTTCTAGTATGTCCCAGCACCACAGTTTTTTTTAAATCATAAGGTTTTAAGAACTGTAAGAAAATGTTAAGTGAACTTGAAAAAATTTCTAGCATTTATCTATTGGGAAATAAATGATGTCCGAATAAAGCAATTCATTTACTTAGAGCTTTTCCCAACTGACTGACTACAAATAACATAAAACACTTGTTCCAAGGTACCCTGTTAGGAACTTTTTAAAATATGCCTATTTCTTTGCTTCTAATATTTTTAATTATAGTATTAGAAAATAGAATGCATTTCTTGAAATTATAATTTAGCTTAACATTTTGTACCATGGAATTTAGCTGTTTTGAAATTACACAGAAGATGCCATATGTCAGGGTTTCTTAAATTTTTCCACTCGCTACCCCGTTTTGTCAAAGGAAATTTCTTGTGAACCCATAAATGAGTATATAAATGAAATATTTTACCAATAACAAATACAGAGAAGTTTATTTTAAGGAAATGTTTCAAGATTGTTCATGACACCCACTTTTTTTTTTAACTGAATCACAGTGAGATACATAGTTACCAAGTTGTTTGATTGATTTCTGGTATGATTGGTTTCTGTCATACCATGTTCCAACACCTATTTCTCTACCAGTGTACATTTCCATCACTCACCCCCACCTCCCAGCCTGCCTCTTTGGCAGGCATTTTCCTTTATCTCTCTCTCTCTCTCTCTCTCTCTCTCTCTCTCTCTCTCTCTCTCTCTCTTTTTCAGGCAGTATGGTTTTCAAAAACATACTGAAAGGTTATCATGTATATCTCTACTTTCAACACTCAGTTCTTGTCCAGAGTGATCATTTCGAACTATTATTGTCATACTAGTCCTTTATCTGTGTATCCTAACTGTCCTTTGCTCCACACACACACTTGTGACAAGCTTCCAACCATTGACCAGTCCTCCGGGTCCCTGTGTTTTCTGGCCTTGGTATTAGTCTCATACTTTACTCTCCATTTCCATTCATAAGCAAATTTCATGACTTTATTTTTCCTAACAGCTGTGTAATATTTCGTTGTGTTGATGTACCATATTTTCTTTATGCAGTCATCTGTTCTTGGGCACTCGGGTTGTTTCCAGATTCTGGCTATGGTGAATAGTCTGCAATGAACATGGAAGTGCAGATGATGTTTTTACTGTGTGTTTTTGGACCCCAGGGTAGAAGTGAGCAGGTTTGAAGACCTAAGTCCTCCCTCTGTAAATCATAGTGTTGAACATTCAGTAAACAAACCCTGTTGATGCCCATTTTGATGACATATGATACTTTTAAAAGCAAACTACTTTTTTTTCTCAGTATCCCACATGCATCTATTCAAGCTGATTCTGTTCAGAAAAATATTCATTACTGAGGGTAAGGGTGGGAGAGGGTAAATGAACCCAGTGGTAGGACTGGTGATAGAACATTGTATGTCTAAAACTGAACTATAAATAACTTTGTAAAACATGGTGCTTCCACAAAATAAAATAAAGGGAAAAGAATGTTCATTGCTGTCAAATCTTGAAAATGGAGCTTGTGCTCCTACAGAAAAAGTATAGAACATAGGGATGTTCTTAGGTAGTCTTAGAAAAACTTTGATTCACGGCTGGAGCGATAGCACAGGGGCTGGAGCCATAGCACAGCGGGTAGGGCGTTCGCCTTACAAGTGGCCAACATGGCCGACCCGAGTTCGATTCCTCCGCCCCTCTCCGAGAGCCCGGCAAGCTACCGAGAGTATTCGATATGCCAGACACAGTAACAACAAAGTCTCCAATGGAGACGTTACTGGGCCCGCTCGAGCAAATCGACGTAGTTTCATATGCAAATACTTAATGTTATTAAAATTAAAATATTCACCACCATTATTTACTTGACAAGTCAGATACTACAGTAAGCTTCTATCATTTCATCATTCTCAGAGTATGATCTGAGGTTCCCTGTTTGGGAAGCCGTTGATGTTCCCAAGGTCCTTGCAGGGGTTCCCAGAGGTCAAATCTATTTTCCTATAAATTGGAGTATTTATCTGTTCGATCTTATTCTGACCTGAGTGTACAGAGCTCAATGACATGGAAAGATACCCTTACTATGACAACTAATGTAATGTGTGCTTAAACAGTTTTGTTTTTAAATATCTCCAGTTCTAGTTCTGATTTAAAGTATATATGGATAAAGATCAAACAAACAAAAGTTCTGTAAGGATCCTTCATAAGTATTTTAATTGCTGAACTATTCTGTAGGAGATACAGAAATATATCCGCTTTTTTCTGTAAAAGATGCCCTCAGAACGAAACTAGTTTAGCTTTTTAATCCTTAACCATCTCATTAGGCTTGTAATTTAAGGATCCTTGTTTCTCATGAGAAAAATAGGCACTGTGAAAGTATGTAATTAGTGGGATCCAGTATAAGATGAAAATGCAAGTTCCACTAATAAAAAATA